CATATTTGGCCACCAGAACATGCGTTGTAACAGTTCTAGGGTCTTACGTACTCCGAAATGCCCTGCCAATGGATGATCGGGGCAATAGCCCAGGACCAAGGTACGGGCTTCCTTGGGTACCACGATCTGACCCTCCTTCCACAAAAGTCCCTCCCTGCTCTGTAAAGGAACACCGGGTGGACTTGGCATTCCTACGGATGCAGTTTGCAACTTGGAACGGAGCTCGGATTGGAGGACTAGGAAATTCCCTGTAGACAGAATGGTGTCAGGTATGGGGATCTCTTCAGGGTCCTCAAACATGTGGGGAGCGAAGATTAAGCTTGGGTGTATAGCCCCTCTAGCAGGTACCTCCACTCCTCTAGTGCCACCTTGATCGCTAAGAGTTCCCGATCCCCGATATCATAGTTCCTTTCCGCTGTGGTAAGTTTTCTAGAAAAGAAGGCCCCCGGGTGCATGAGCTCCTTGATGCCCTTCCTTTGAGACAGGACTGCCCCTACTGCGTTCTCGGATGTGTCCACCTCCAGGATATAGGGTAAAGAAGGATCCGGGTGGCTCAGGATAGGAGCTGCGGTGAATAATTTCTTCAATGACTCAAATGCTACCTGCGCTTCAGGTGTCCACTGGAAGCGAACCCTCTGCCTTGTGAGTTGGGTGATAGGGGACACCAGACCAGAAAAGGTCTTGATGAACTTTCTATAAAAATTGGCAAAGCCAATGAACCGCTGGATACCCTTTTTATCGGTGGGAACTGGCCAATCCAAGATGGCCGACATTTTCTGTGGATCCATGGCCACTCCTGTGGTGGAGATGGTCAGTCCCAAAAACGAAATGCTGCACTGTTCAAAACTGCACTTTTCTGCCTTGGCATACAGCCCGTGTTGGCGAAGTCGCTCCAACATGCTCCTCACTTGACCTCTATGTACCTCCAGGGATGGGGAGAAAATCAGAATGTCGTCTAAGTAGACGACGACAAAGACATCCAAATAGTCCTTGAACACGTCATTTATGAAGTGCTGGAAGGTGGCGGGTGCATTACATAGCCCAAAGGGCATGACCAGGTACTCGAAGTGTCCAAACCTGGTACGGAATGCTGTCTTCCACTCGTCTCCCTCTCTGACATGGACTAAATTATAAGCACCTCTCAAATCCAGTTTGGTAAAGACAGAAGACGACTTTAGTCTTTGGAACAGTTCAGGGACCAAGGGAAGAGGGTAGCGATTTTTAAACGTTATTTTATTCAATTCCCGGTAATCTACACAGGGTCTTAGGGATTTGTCCTTTTTCTCCACAAAGAAAATACCAGCCCCAGCTGGTGATGTGGAGGGACAAATAAACCCCTTACGGAGGTTTTCGTCTATGTATTCTTTCAGTACCCCCAGCTCCCGCTCTGACAAGGGAAATATCCGCCTAAAAGGGATTTCGGATCCCGGGAGAAGGTCAATTGGGCAATCATAGGCTCGGTGCGGGGAAAGAATATCTGCACCCCCCTTACTAAACACATCCAGGTAACTATGGTAGGCAGAGGGAATGACTTGAGTCAGTTCTGCATCCGCATCCACACACAATAAGGCCTGCGGAGCTGGGGAAGTCTTGGGGAAACAATACTTTGGCAGTAGGGTGACTGGAACTGAATTGACCCCGCCTTCCAATTAATCTGGGGGTCATGGGCTCGTAACCAAGGGAGCCCCAGGATAATTGGAAACAAGGGGGATGCAATGGCATCCAGGCCAAGGAATTGCTGGTGGTGGGCCTCCACTGTAGTGCAGATAGGTGGGGTTTCAAGGTCTACTAGGCCTAATACGGGACCCATCGGCCAGGAAGATATTCAACCCACATTCCTTGGTTTGTAGGGGAATCTGCTGCTGGGCTGCAAAGTCTAAATCTATGAAGCAGCTACATGCTCCAGAGACAACAAGTGCCGTTGCTGACACGGTTCTTCCAGGAAGCTGGGGAGAAATAGGCACGGCTAGATAATTTGTGTTACTAGGACCATTAGGAGCTACAGCAGAAAAAACAGAGGCACACTTACCTAGCTTGGCTGGACAGGAACGCACCACATGGCCTGCTTCCCCACTGAAACGTTCCGGTGTGAGTACACGGGGTTCCGGTGGGGGTATTGAGACCACTGCTCCCACAGGAGGTTCCCCGGGGTTCCTGGCCGGGGATGTTGGTGAGGCTAATGTCTGAATGCGACCCTCCAGATATGTGTTATCCTCCTGTAGGGTTTTAACCCCTTGGGTGAGTGCCACCAGGTGTTGGCATATGTCATCCAAAGGGGAAGATCCCCTTCCAGGCTCAGTCATGGCCGTAAGGTACTGTCAGGCACTGCCCGGCGGGATCTCTAGTGACCCACAGAATGGGATTCCCCAGGGCGCGGAGTCTAAGCCCCAGTCTGCCTTTTCACCAGAGCCCCTGATGGTGGGGATGGACTTGGCGCAAGACTGAGACCAGGTCGCGGCCCCTGAGTGCACCCAACTGTGGTAGAGGGGTCCACCGAGGGTATGTGCCAGGGGAGAGCCTGATGTGAAGGGGCTGGTAGGTCCGGACAGTAGTAACTGGATCCGTGCGGGATGGATGGATGACAGTATGGAGTATTGCGTGGTCAGACAAGCCAGGTCGGTAACAGTGGAGGCAGATCGGTACAGAGCAGCGGGCAAAGAGTAAACGGGTCACGAGCCAAGGTTCAGCAACAGGAGGTCAAACAGCATAGGAGTAGACAGAAGAGTAGTCAGGGACGAGCCGGGGATCAGAGCAGGAGACGGTCAACAGGAATCAGGGTCAGGCAGGGTCGGCAACTAGGTAACTTCTCACAGGAACAGATGTACAGGGAACTAGACCTTACGGCAACCTGATCATTGCATGGCTGGTTTAAATAGGATGCGCCATCATTGGTGCCAGGCGCACGCCCGTGTGCGCGCATGCGTGGCCGCAATTGCCGTCGCGGACGCCCAGGTCCTAGTGCCTGCACATTGGTGCGCCTAGGCAATCTGTGCATGCACAGACCCGTGCGCTGCGGCGAGCCCTGAAATCCCTGACAGCCAGGCAGAAGAACAGGTTCACCTGAATGTAGACCTCCACAGACACACATAGTTTTCTTCCACCACCACTTGTTTCAGCTGTCAAAAGTGAAAAGCAAGTCTTCTGTAAGCTATGAGTCACTGGAGTCATAGCTCAAACAGGGCTATGAACTCCCCAGAGATGGTGCCGATTGGCTCAGTGCTGTCACATGTATTTTTTGTTGGGATGGTAGGGGGGTGGGGTTAAAGTATATATGAGGGTGAAATGGAAAAAAAAGTCTGTAAATCTCTGCAATACATGCACATTTTACCTATGTTTTATCCATTTGTTGATCTGCTAGAAATGTATTTGTTGAACTAGGAACTTGTATTTTTTCAACCTGATTAACTATGTAACTGCTGTATATAGAATACGCTAAACTCTTAAGTACTGCTGTGGGCTGGCAAACGCAGCATTTATTTGTGGACTGCGTGGTGGCAGTCCTGGCCATTTTTTTTTTTTTTTTTTGCTAAACTATTCAAACCCTCCCATTCTGTTAAATTCAAGACATAGACTCTAAAATTTCTGTAGTCTGAGATAAGAACTGAAAAAACAAATGGGACTCCTTTATCCAACATAGGGAGTTGCACATGACAGCTCTACGTTTCTGATATGATTTTTTTTTTTTTGCACCCATCAGAGAGACATAAGAAAATGCTTCAATTGTATATTTAAAAAACCAAAAGGGAGCAAATAAGAAAAGTCTATTGTGAGGGATTGTATACACTCTGCTGCAAACCTGTAAAGCTACAAACGGACAAATCACAGGTTTGCTTTAAGAAGTTTGCACATAAGACCGGTCAGAATTCTTCTAAAACTGAGTCATCTGTTATGCGTGGTTATGTCCTTAAAATAGCACTTATTTGCATCCTTATGCCTAGAGATAGGATAGCTTGTTTTAGAAATACTTTAGTTCAGCAATCTTTTGTATATTTTTCTGGCTGTGGAAAAAATACATAACAATTACATTTGAATGGTTTTTAAGTTGATTAAACACAATACGTCTTCACTTTATTTTTCCCCATAGTAAAGCAGCGCTAACATCACAGCTTTCTCCTTCTTGGAAAAGCAAATGCTAGAATGTCTTTTGTGTGTATATAATAGCAGAGACTGTATTTGTTCTACCTGATTAGCAGGTTAGACGAAATGGCAAGAAAAGGCTTCATTAATGTATCTGGAGATTTCAAAATCTAATTTGCCCTTGTTAATGGAATTCCCATATCTCAGGAGGGTGAAAACGCTGGCAAGGCAACCATGAAACTAAAGAGCTTGTTTGAAATAGTTCTCCATTTTTGTTGTTTGGCCAGACAATTGTAATCAAAATTTATGTCAGTTACACTTTAATGGCTGATTTCAAGTGGGTGATTTTGTAGCAGAAGTTAATCGCTGCTACAAATCGCTAATCCCAGTCATGCAGTTAGCCTTTTAATTGTTAGAATCGCTGGCGATACTTCACCAGCATTGGGTTGTGCTCTGCTATAAATCACTCTTCTTCAGCGATTTGAGAAACATTTGATAGCAATGCATTAAGAGCCACTGTTGCTTGCAGTTTTGCCACCGAGTTGAAACACTGCTGAATCTTAACCTCCCTAGCGGTCTGATTATGTCAGTATTTCTGTGCTCAAAGCGGTACATTATTTTCAATGGAAATTTGTTGTTCTTTTATTGTAGGCCTGTAATTCTTAGGAATAACTCACTGAAATCTGTCCGAACAAGAGTCTAGTAAACATCCGGGTATGATAAAATTTGAAGCACAAAATCATAAATTATAATATAATAAATAATCATAAAAAAAATATAATAATAATAAATTGAATTCAATAATATAATCAAACCAAAAACACTGAAATTTGAAATAGAGCACCAAGTTCGCACATCACTGAGCAAAGTCGCAAAATCGTTTTCAGTGTCTGATGACAAATTTCCCCACGAATCATTATCACTCAATTCTGCAAGTGGTTCTAATTTACTATTTGCTGTTCTCTAGCTGGTCTAAAACCGCTTTTAACCTAAAGGGACGCTTTTTGGATGCCATGGACTTTTCTCAGTTTCCAGGCAGAAAGAACAGTAAAAATGCAGGCAGGGCACAGGACAAAGCACTAGGGACAAAATGTATGTGAAATGGTTTGATACAGTAATGTTTTACTATGTGATTTTAGTGTATTGAGTGAATGTCACATTTTGACATTTTCGAATTTCCCTCCGGTTCCGTCTCTGTACGTCCCGACGCTCGCAGGGAACGGAACCCAGAAGACGGATGCTGGCATTGGCCGGAGGACAAGGTTGGGGACGCTGCAGGGGGGACATCGCAGGAGCGCAGGACAAGGTAAGTGATACAGGGATCACTGGAGAAGCGCTGCAGGTATTCCCGAGTGTAGCTCAGGGTTACCGCTTCTGGCACTGAAAGTTAACCCCGAGCTACACTCGGGAATACCTCCAGGGAGGTTAATCAATGTGCGACAGCGACAAATCTCTTTTAAAAAGTTAGTGCAATGCACATGATATCTCCCCTGCACTGCCTGCCAAGTGCCTCTGAAAAGCCATCCACTTTGGATGGCTTTTCAGAGGGCTGGCAAGCACAGCCACATTTTGTAAACCTAGTCTTAAGCTGTGAATTTTACTACAAATAGCTGTCAGCTTTTAGCAGAGAAGACATACTAGGATTTTTACAGACTGGGGAGGACACTGTTGGGTATACAGGGATAAAATCAGTGCTGAATCAGTGCTTTGTTGCACATTATTACATTGTGTTTCTGCTTTGTAAATAAAAAAAACAACATGACATCATTGGTGTTTTCTGTGAGCACTGGCAGCCATCTTTTGAATAGGAATAGCTCTGCCATTTCCACCCCTGCATCAATATATATATCATTTGGCTTGATTTGCATCTATGTGGCATGTGTGTTACATGAATTTTAGATACATTACCATTGAACTTTATATAACATGAATTATGATAAAAGATCATCAAAAATGTAGCAAACATGATTTTTTTTTTTTTTTCAATGCACTGCACCTTAACCACCTACCACCCGCCATATAGTCCAATGACGGGCGCAAGGTAGTTCTCTCATTCTGGGAGGACGTCATATGACGTCCTCCCATTCTCACCGCGCATGCAAAGCTCAGGGAGCGCGCGGCGATCGGCGGTGCGCCGTGTCCCTCGGACACAGCGGACCACCGATCCACGGAAAGAGCCGAAGATGTCCGCTCAGTCATGTGATCAGCTGTGTCCAATCACAGTTGATCACATGTAAACAGGGAAATGCTGGTTATCGGCATTTTCTCTCCTCATGAGCTGTCATGCTGACAGCTCGAGAGGAGAGTCGGTAATCGGCATTCCGCGGAGAGGACATGTACACTGATCATCAGCGCACGGATGATCAGTGTGCCCTGATGATCAGTGTGGCCCCAGAAGTGCCACCTGTCAGTGTCCATCAGTGCGAGCTGTCAGTGCTGAACAGTGCCAGTGCCACATCAATGCCACATATCAGTGCCCATCTGAGCTGCCTTTCAGTGTCATCCATCAGTGCCAGTCAGTGCCACCTATCAATGCCAATCAGTGCCGCCTATCAGTGCCAGTCAGTGCCGCCTATCAGTGCCAGTCAGTGCCGCCTAACAGTGCCATTCAGTGCCGCCTATCAGTGTCATATATCAGTGCTGCCTATCAGTGCAGCCTATCAGTGCCCATCACTGCAGCCTCATTAGCGCACATCAGTGATGGAGAAAAATCACTTATTTACAAAATGTTATAACAAAAACTAAGGAAAAACTTTTTTTTTCTAAATTTTCAGTGGTTTTTGGTTTGTTTAAGAAAAAAAAAACCCAGAGGTGATTAAATACCACCAAAATAAAGCTCTATCTGTCAAAAAAAAATGACAAAAATTTCATATGGGTACAGTGTTGCATGACCGTGCAATTGTCATTCAAAGTGTGACAGCGCTGAGAGCTGGAAATTGGCCTGGGCAGGAAGGGGGTATAACTGCCCTGTAGGCTAGTGGTTAAGCATGTAAAATGCAAATGTGTTTATAGGGCCTTACAGTATAGCTCTCTTGCTTTGATACAACCGTGAGCTATTATTGCCAGGTTTTGTGAGCATTTGTTGCAGGTGCATGGAGGAGAGGGGGAAACAGGTTGGCACTAACATGATTAAGCTGCATATAAAGTAAAGTGTACATTTAATTAACAAAAAAAATGAGAGATCCTGCTGCCAGAGGATATATGCTACCATATTGTCCTGAGACTGCTGTTGTGTGCTAGCATCTCGGATGTGATGTCAGCAGCTTCCGCAGACTCAGAATTGTCACTCAAGTGACACTACAGTATTGCACTTCACTCCTCACATGGCAGCTTCATAAAGAGTTATGAAGGTAAGAGATGCTTGCCAACACAGACAAGTAATTAGACACTTCCACAAGAGTAAAAGGCTATCACTTGGTAGGAGGGAGGAGGCTGTGCTAGGGAACTGACTAGTCACTTGAAAGTTCAGAGTCACATTGCAAGTAAATTTAAAAAATAAAAGAAAGGTCCCTTTTTGTTGACATCATTCTGCTTTTCCCGATTTGGAAAATGTTTTTCCATTGGCTAAACTCCAGCCAATACACAGTGCAGTTTGTACCCAGGAAGACTGAACAAAGACACAGACTGCAGTTCAGATTTCTGAAGGGAAAGTTGCTTTTTTACAAAGTTTACAGCTGCTATCTAGGGATTTCTAGAGAGCTGTGATATAAGTGCAAGCAACAAAAAAAAAAAACTCACCTCCAGGCACAGATACTGTTAGATGGGATATATGGAATAGCATAGATACATTAAAGTGATTGTAAAGGTTCAGCTATGTTTTTAAACAATAGCAAAACATCTGTTAATTACCTTCTCTGTGTAATGATTTTGCACAAAGTAGCCCCGATCTTCCTGTTCTGGGGTCCCTTGCCAGTGCACCTGGCTCCTCCCCTTTTATAAGTTTCCCCCATAGCAAGCCATTTGCTAAGTGGTTATTCATGCAGGCTCACTCCTGAGCGTCCTCTGTATGTCCATAAACGTGTCCATTTACATCCGCCTCCTCATAGAGCACAATGGATAGTCTGATCGGGTCCAAGTGAAAAACAAACAGGCGGACCCGATCGGTCTACCTGTGTGAAAGGGGCCTTAATTGTTAGCGTAACCTTAAGGTAAAATTAGGTTGTGTTAACCTAGGCACTAAGTAGTGTAACAATGACTTTTTCATATGCAGTTATTTGCAGTAAATAAAAATTTGAATGACATTGTGTTGACTAACGTGAGCATTTACACTATGTATATTTTTATTTTTCTTCTTCATGGGACATGTGTTTGATTCAGTCCCATGCAGCTGTACAGAAACAGATCACTTCTAATAGTGACCTATTGTTGGCTGACTGCTGCTGAGACCTGCAGGAGCTGCTGAGTCTGGGTGCAGTTTTAGGCTGAATTCACGTTATAACGGACAGTTGCCGGAGCGCTTTACCCTTTTGGCAGCTGTCCGTTCTTGCCTGTGGTAGGGGGCTGTGTGGTGTGCAATTCAGTGCATCACACAGCTTTTTCTTTGTTTGTTTTGTACAAACTTTACTTGAAGTGTATAAAATGAACTGCCAATGCCATCCAGAAAACAGTATCATAATAATAAGTCACAACAATCCACATGATTTGCCTTAGGTTAAAAATATGGTGTCTGACACTGCAGGCAGACTTTTGAAAGTTCTTCCTTCCCTATTCGTTGAGCCACTTAACCTTGAACAAAGGTGTACATGTGTAATATGTCGGCATGTGACCTGCACATGACTCACAAAGCAGAGAAGCAAGGAATATATTAATCCTGGAGTTTTCACCTGAGACTAGCATAGTTAGGTGGGGAATGTACATGGGATTTATTGTCCCACATATTGGTAGGATCGAAGATTTGGCATTTTAGAACCTATTGTGCTGCTTAGATTTGGCTGACAATGTGGTCTGCTACAAAACAAAATGTGGTGGGTTGAATATAATATGTATATACAGTATAAAGCTATGGGTAACTGTATGCTGTGCACTGCATTATTTAAGGCCATGCTGTTGCTTTGTAAATATTCCATACAGGTATTCATTTAGCTTTGAGAACATACAGTATAGTATTTGTATTCAATAATGTTTATTGTATCTATATGGTTTGTTTCAGATGAAATCACTGCTAGTTTTCGCCGGTTTGGCCCTTTGATTGTTGATTGGCCACACAAAGCAGAAAGCAAATCTTACTTTCCTCCCAAAGGTAAGCTAAATATAGTGACCAGTGACTGGTGTTGAAGCTCATTTCTGAAGATTTATTGGTGCTTTGTGAGTTTTATAGATATAGGCTGACAGAGGTAATGGCATAAGACGTAATGTCAAATCTGTGAGAAACTTAACGAGTTCTATCTGAACATGTGCAGATCAAAATGCAGATGCAGTGGTTTCCTTCTGCGAAAGCCACATGTCCAATTGATCAGTAGATCCAAAAATATAGATAGATGAAATTATATGCAAATCTGTACATTTTTCTGTAAATATGGAACTTGGCCCAATGCCTCACTGCTTCCTTTTGGTCAGTGATACTAACCATCATATAAAAGGATTAGTAATAAGGCTTGATAGGCAGACCCCAACCTAACTTTGCTGAAAAAAGTCAAGATTTGCGTCTAATTTTTATACTTATTTTAACTGCTCATTTTTGTGTCAACTTTACTGTAAAACTAAACTCTGGGATGGGATGGGCAATCATTGTCTAAATACAAGAGGCATGTTTATTCTTATTCAAATATTAGTTTGCTTTGTATATTTCTTTCAGATCTGTCAGTAATCTAGTGTGAACATTACCGCTGTACAGGAGTTTCCTGTGATAAAGACCAGTAACTGCTGCTGCTTTTTGTGCACGGTGACTGGTCTTGTATCTGCCCTCTCCTGTAGTTTTTGTACAGGCAGCCTTTAGTGGGTGGGAACTGCTGGGCCCCTCCCACAGCTCTGCTCTCTGCATGGGCTATGTACGGCATAGTGCTGATGTCACTGCTACATTATTGTATACAATGGGTCTGCAAAGGCATTAGATGCACACAAAGTGGATTTAGATTCTTTGTGGCTATTTTTTAATGTATATTTAAATAAACGTTTTTATGCCTGGAGTTCAACTTTAAAGCACAACTTCCAGGTTTCTTGTGATTTTAAATAGTTAGTTTGTTTGGACCAAGCTGGTCTTAATGAACTGTTTGCTTCCCTAAAACGTGCATGCTGGGAATGCTATATAAACTGCATGTAGCATAAGCTAAAGAACTGTCTGCATCTGT